GCTCGCCGAGCCGACGCTGCCCTCACTGCTGCCGCTGCGCGCCGTGTAGCCGCATCATGCTGCATGTAGCGGCAATAGGCGACCGGACCTTACTTCGGCGGACGGAAAAAAAACCCATAACCCGCACATTCCAGCCGTTGTGTTACCAGACCCTTCGTCAGACACCAAGCATCCCAGCCAACGATGTGTTGTGCCCCCCGAGAGGATCTCCACAGTCAGTCCACAAGGGGTCGTCAACTGTGGTGGAGCTTGAGCTTCCGTCGTTGTGATTATTGTTTTCCTTGGGTCGAGAACAAGCCCGAGGTGGCTGCAACATCGGACAAGCTCGTCTAATATCCACGTTGCATGCCGCGAAGATGTAGTGAAAATGAAGACATCGTCAGCAAAGCGAACGTCTAACAGCTTCGGCAAGTTGTCGTATAAGGCAATGCCCGCCGCGTCGACGTTACGTCTCCGTCCACCCGATGCTAATTGCAATACTGCACAGAACAAGCGAGGACTGAGCACACGTCCTTGACGAACTTCGCCCGAAATCTGAAACAAACGACTGGACTCTCCATCATCACTTCGAGAAACTCCTAACTGTCCAGCATAAAGTTCTTGCAATATCCAAATCAAATGTGCGGGAACGCCATGCTGCGCAAGTGCCGACCATAAAGCGGTCCATGACACACGGTCGAACGCCTTCGAAAAATCAGTGCTAATCACCCAAAGAGGAATGTTGGCCGCCAATGTGTTGTCCATCACGGTATTTGCTGTCAATGAGTGCTCTAAAAAAAAATGAGTGCTCTTCAATGCGGCGTCCCTTCCTGAATCCATGTTGCTCCTCAGGTTGATGTGCATCTAAGACAGAATCAATCCGACCCAAAACCACCGAAGCAAAGGTTTTGTACAGCAACCGAACATTGGCAATAGGTCGTTTGCCTGGACAAACTTCGCCAACATTTTGACGCTGGAGCACAGCAGCTGGTTCGCGACCTTGTTCGCGTCCGCGCTCAGCGCTCGCCGCCCGTGGTGCATGCCGCGGCCGCCTCGGCCTGGGCGCGGCGCTGGTGGGCTGTGCTCTCGGTCTCCGTGCAGCAAGCGGTGACAAGCACGGCGCTTGGGTCGGCCTGGCCTGCACCGCCCCACGCGACCCAAAGCCAAGGACCGGAGCTCGACCGCATCCTCGACCTCGCAGAGGCCGCGTGGCCGAGCCGGCTGCCTCTGTGCGGCGTGTAGTCTAGCGCGGAGTAGTCTCGGACGCCTGAGTCCTGCAGGCGGGACAAAAACTGTTTTACGACAGCTCGTCGGAACATCTCCTGTATGCAAGGCGTGGTTGCACAACCGTAGCAGTTCTTGCAGAAACGAGTTGGATGCATGCTGAAACAACTCAACTACCAAACCGACCTCATTGGCCGCCTTGTTGACTTTCATCCTTCGCAACACAGAAAATCACAACAATACGGTGTATTACCGCACGAATGCCAAACATGCCACGCATCCAATGGGCTTGCATCCCGTCAAGACGACTCTCAAAGAAGGGCACAACCAGTTTTGCGGCGCAATGCCAACATGAACAATTCGGAGCTAATCATATGGCCCAAAAACACAGGACACGTATACGAGTCTTTTGCAACTAAACCACCGAGGTACGCGCTGCCATCGAAAAGCATGCCAGCACTGCAACCTGACAATGCGTCCTGAAGGGGAATGGGCCGTGGCTGCACGTTGAATGTGTGAGATCTGTATCGACACCGTTCCGTGATCATCCAGACCCGGAGGGCTGCCACAGAATGACCACGACAAGCGATCGGGATCCTTGCATCATCAACAAAAGATCTGGCACCGCGTGGGGTTGAAGAAGCTGCATCCAGGAATGCCAACTGCAGAGTATCAGAGGAAGCTCGACGCATTGCAGAAGACCAAGAAACCAATCCCACGTGGATGTCATCAAGCAAATCTTGGGCTTCCCGCTTCCACCCTACAGCGCGTTGTCAGGCGTAAGAGCTCGCACGCTCTTTACACTGTCGTAGCACGCCGCATTGCTCCACATCCTTGTTTCAAGCCGTCCGCCTTTACACATGTCGGCGCGACACGGCCTACAGGCGCTTTTAGCTTTTATGCATTGGCGTGTGACGGTCGACCAATGGTGTATAGGCCACTTCGATGATTCGTTCGGCCTCGCAGCGCGTTTCTTTCCTCCGTGTGCTGAGAGGGTGGTGCCATATCATGTTTGCGGGTTCGAAGATTTCGAGGTACATTTCCGGTTGTTGCCAGGTCGGGCCGAGTAGGCAACAGGCGCTTAGTGGTCCGCAATGCACGGCAGCGAATAATGTAGGGGAGAGTGCTTGAGGTGGCAATGGCTCCTTTTAAGCTGTTTTTTGCCATCTTGAACTATCGTGATCAGTAGCGGCTCGAGTTTGGGCACTGCAAACTCCAAGCCGGATGCGGTCGTCGTGCAAACTGGGGCAAGTCGGTGGTCTTGCGGCGGTAGGTCTGCCATACCATGCTGGTGTTGCGCACGCGCAGCTGACAGGCGCAGGAAGCTGGCGTGGACTTGATTGAAATTGTGGGGTACGAAGGCACATTACTGGAGGTTTTGGCAGCATTGAAGTGGAGAGGAAGATTTTGTTGAATTGGGCCCATGCGACTTCCAGGATCGATTGCTGGTGGTCAACCTGGCGACGAGGCAGTTTCGATGACATCCTTGCAAATGCGTTGGAAGACTCTCCTTGCAGCAGCTGCTGCAGCTGCAGCAGCAGCAGCAGCAGCAGCAGCACGATTGTTGTTCCAGTTTGCCCTTCATTACGTGTTGATATGTGTCGAAGCATTTACACATGCACGACTTGGCCAGGCGTACAGGGCATAGCTGCATCGCAAAACAAATGGAAATATATGCCATTCGCATCAGATGTTCATGTCCATGAAGGCTTGCCCAGCAATGCATGTCTCAGGTTGGTGCATGGGTGTTGTTGGCCAAGGCACATTTCGGCAAATGGTTCTCACACGTTTGATTCAGTTTTTTTTTGCTCATTTGCGAGGCCACGTCGATGTTGAAAGTGCCGGTAATCGCAGCTGGCGCATCAGGCAGTCCGTCAGAGCTAGCTCGGATCATGTGGCATTGCCAGCTGGTTTGCAGCAATGCTCGCGGTAGGGCGACTGCCAAGGCACTGGGAGGCAGTTGGCGGCTGCTTTGGCTATGGGAGCCATGGGCCTAGCCCACGTACAACATGGACTGCTTAGTTGCACGCCACGGGTGGTAGAAGTTGTGCATGCACTGGAAGGCTCAGGGCATCACGATGGCCACAAGGTTCCTTTGCACTGTCGAGGCCGTTGTGCCAACAAACCCAAATCATGTGCTGTGGCAACGTCCAAGTTCGAGTCAGGCTCCGATCGACCAAAAAGTGAAGGACCCGGGCTGTGCATGATTCATTCTTCGAGTTTTGCCTACAGCTTCGGGTCGCATTTGCAAGCCAGGAGACATTGATGAGCCCAGACATGGACGAGAGGCTCTTTCCATTTCACTTTGGAATCAAACTGTTTTTGTTTTTTTACCCTTTGGTGCGATTCTTAGCTTGTGTGTCTGGGAGGAGTACCACGATCGTCTTGGGAACCCTGAGCAATGCTACACGGGTCTTCAAAAACGGCGTGTCGAAGAAGATTCGCGAAATCGAAAGTCAAGGTGCCAAGTGCAGGGCGCACGTCATAGCGCGTGGGGGTGCCTTCATCCTAAACTCCCGAAGCCACCAAGCCTGTAAACCCGGTGAGTTCTCACGCGGGATCTCATGGTTTCACGCCATAGACCCCTTCAGCAATGCAGGAATGCAACAAGTACCAACAAAAATGATAATGATAACAATAGTAGAATACGAATTCACATGTAATAATCGTAATAACCCTAAACCCTAAACCCTAACCCACCAAAAAAAAACAAAAAAAAACAAAAAGAAATATATATATATATATATATATATATGTATATTAGCCTGGAGCCGTCTTGACCCTATGCGCTATTCGGCTGCTGCCCCTGCGAGGCGATGTGGATTTTAGCCAAGTCATGCCCCTGGCCAGTGGCAGCCGGACCAAGAAGATGTTTTCGCCTGAGTCTTTGCAAGGAGTCGTGATTGAAAAGGCGAGAATGTATAAGTTTTTCTGGGGTGCAAGCCTTTAAAAACAGTTTTGTTAGACAGGGTGAGGTTTAGAAGCATTGGAGCATCCGACAGAATCAGCGTGCAGTTGCAATGTAAAGTCCAATCAACTACCGTACATGTTCCAAGGTGGCAAGAAACAGGCGACACGGAAGATGCCATGTGGAGCTGCTCCCAAAGCATCGGTCTCATCAGCAACAGGCCCAGATTCGCGAAGTTCAGATTGCACGGGTGTTTCACGCTCGGCTTCTTTCATGTCGAGGTAGCACACATGCACATCGCTTGCAGTACCAAGGCGACATTCCAACATGCCAAGATTTGCTGAAGCCCGGGCCCCATACATCTTCCTGTTGGGCTGCAGGGCCGTCCGCCGAACAAGGGACAGCACCGACATGCACCGACATTTCCAGCCCCGGAACGAAAGGCGCTGGACACTTCCTGCCCAACTCCTCTCGTTTTTCAGCGTCCCAATCAAAGTGTAGTCCGGCCGATGTGGGGTTGTCAGAGACAGAACAGCACCCCAGGGATGCAGCAAGACGCCACTTCTCCGCGCACACCACTGTTCAGAAATCCGCAGCCATGCTTAGCTGCTTAACCCTTCTTAGCCCTAAGCCCATCTTAAACCCTATACCCCTAACCCATGGTTTAGGCAAAAATCCCATAAACCATCTTAAGCCTCTATACCCGAAACCCTGGCACATTTGAGGCGGATCGTGGCAGAAGCTGAAGAGCGGCTGTCCGTCGGAATGAGGTGGGAGGTCGTTGCAGTCCGGGTCTCATACCATAGAAAATATGTAGTCTACCCTCTATGTTTCTATATTCACACGCGAGTATATTGCGCTTCCACTTGCAAATAGACCGAAGATACTGCAGTAGGAGCCGGACCTTGAAACGGATTCCCAAGCTTGTGGGTCCTGAAGTCCCCTAGTTGGACTTCCTGAAGGCTAAAAATACTAAGCGAAACCTAATAGATTGATGGAACCTCAAGCCATCAGGTAAACCCTAAAACCCTAAACCCGAAACCCGAACAAAAAGGTGCGTCGTCGCCTCCAAGCTCTGAGATGACTTGACATACTTGACACCCCGGGCCGCCGGTTCTCCTTGGCTGCACGCTGGTGATAGCAGGGCTTCAGCTTCGGCATCTTAAGTTAAAAGTTATATGAAACTGCTGGTTTCAATGGTTCAACGTAGTGCTATCGAAGAAAGAACACTTCAGAGAAGTTCGAATAGATAAACCCCTAAACCCCAAACGCTAAACCCCAAAACCCTAAACCCTGAACCCATAAACACTAGATATCCATCGCACACCAAGTACATGTCATGGTTTCGGGTCCACGGAAGCTTCGGGTCGCGTTTGGCGCCCGGGGCAGATGACGGCTTGGAGGCAAATGCCTCGCCTGCGTGACCTCCACTACTACTATTAGGTGAGGTTAACAATGGTAATAGTAATAATGGCTATAATAATGAGGATAGTAATAATCGGGTGACAAAATTACGATTATTACTATCCTTATTATTATAACCATTATTGCTATATTATTGCCATTATTGACCTCACCTCCGTCTTGGTGACGGTGTCGTGGGGCCGTGTCGGTCCTTGTGTGGAGGGTTGCTGCATACAAGGAGTGAGAAAACCGGTGATATGCGTCGCATACTGGAAGTTGGCCCTTACGCAGGGATTTCCCAAAGGGATCTATCCGGAAGGCTGTTCTAAGGGTTGCCAGATGTTGCAATTGTGTTTTTGTTCAGGGTTCCGCGACTTATGGGGGTGGGGTTGCGCAGGTTTGCTCGGAGGACTTCTCGGCATGCTCTGGGTGTTCGGTTGCTCAGTGCACCTCCAGCTTCGGGTTAGGATGTTAAAGGGTTCGCTGATGTTTCAGATTCAGGCCTGTGCATTACTTCGTTCTGTCGTCGCAGTGTGGCCATGCAAGGGGTGCCTGCAACCAAAATGTTTTGGTATGTAGTTTGGAAACGTGCCTGTTCGGAGCATGCTTCGCCTGATATTGTCCGTTGGCTCAACGCTGCAGATATACGGCACGAAGTAGTTATGAAGTCATCCTATGCACAGCTCGTGCGTTGCAAGTTCAGAGCCAGACCACGGCAAACATATCATGATAATGTGATTTCGGGCTCGCAGGGTGTCGGCCTCCCAGAAATCCCAGCGCCAACATCTGGCGTGGTCGGAGCATGACTGCTGCCCTTAAGCAGAAGAGGCGGTGCAAGAAGCGAAACAAGTTCGGCAAGCCGTGTTCGTTTCACCGAGCCAGTATGGAAACCTCATGCTGATGCATCGCACCAAGCTGCCCTGGAAGCTGCGATGCCCCTGCCCGAGTTGCTTTGCAATTTTCTAACGACGCCTGCTACCAATGTGGTGGGTTTCGCGGGTTAGACTCGACCCAGAAACCTCAAGGCAATGATTCCGAAGACGCACATGGAAATTGATCAACCTCCCACCAGTAATCTTGCTTTCGGACGTGCCCAACTACGATTCAGAGAAGGTTAGATTGCTTGAGCTTTTTTGTTTTAGAGTCCACGCTGCTACCTTTGACTGCGCCACATGCAATGGGAGACGCAGGAAGGGTCCTCGAGCTTCTATGAAGTGTAATATGCCGTGTCTTGGATTAATTATGGTACAGTGCATGTGCTATTCCTGAGGCCAGCATCACCCCGCCGCAGTCCCAGGGGCGGTCGAAGCCCAAGAGGAGGTGCCAGCCCTCGGGGTGGCCGCAGCCCCCGGGGCGGCGGAAGCCCTCGCAGCCCGCGGGGTTCGGATGTGTGGGGCTCCCGGAAACCTCGGACATGGGCCTTTGCACGCGCTTTCTTCTCATGGGACGATCGACTTGGCTGAGGGATGAAGACGAAAGCAACTACGACGACAACAGTGCCAGCCTTGGCGATCTTGCAGGGTTCAAGGCTGTATTATGTTTTTTTTTTTTTTGTTTCTCAATTTTGCGTTTCCATAGGATCGTAGCCGTAGTGATGCGCTTCAAACACAAAAAAAGAAGATGCTTAGACGACGTTGACACCCAAATCGTGAATTCAAGCTTCAAGGCTATGATGTTCCAGCCCTCTAGAGCAGATAAAGCCCTTCAAGATGTTAGACTACGCCGGACCAGGAGGTAAAAACTCAATCACACGCCCTCAAAAGCCTACACACCTACAGTGAACTTACAGCGCCCCAGTAGAAATTTTACGACCTCAAAACCCGAAGCCCAAAACCCCCCCCAAACAACGTTAAGCCCATAAACCTTGAGCCTGGATTGTCCGAATGTGAGAGCCGAAACCTTGATCTAGGACATCTTCAGGTGGGTAGTTTCCGTTATAGGGGCCGTATAGAAGGTCTATATACTTTACAGAAGCCTTGTAGAAGCCCGAAAAAACCCTAAACTCCCCACCTGCAGTTTCCTTTACCCTGTAACCCTTAACCCCCCAGACCCCCAACTACCCTCTAATATACCCTAAACTCCCCACCTGCAGTTTCCTTTACCTTGAGCAACAACCCGCCCCCAGGTGACGAAGGCTCCAGGAGTCCCCGAAGCCCACGCCGGGCCACCTAAAGTTGAAGTGCTTTCTTGTTGGGCTGAGTTTGGGGTTTAGGTTTCGGGCTTATAAGGTTTAGGGCTTATAGGGTTTAGGGTTTAGGGCTTCAGGTTGGTATAGGGGCTTCAGGGTTGGTTTAAGCATGTTTAGGTGTTTTGGATCTCTGTGGATATTATGGTTGTGTGGGGTCTTACTTCTTGAAGCAGGGTTTTGTGGGTTTTTGGGTTCAACTAAGTTGTTCCTTCAAGGGTTCTACACGGTTTAATAAGGTTTTTTTAGGCGGGGGGCTTTGAGGGCTCTGGGTTTCTCGGGCTTTGGAGTTTTAAGGGCGTCAAGGCTTGCGGGCTTTAGAGCTCTGGGGTTACTTGGTGTTGATGGATTTAAGGTTCATTCGAGTTCTTGTCAAGTAAAAAAGGGCACGTCACCCCCCCGGTGTCTGGGAACTCTGAGCTCGTTCCTCTGTATGCTTGGCACAAGCTTTCTGTAAAAGGTTTAGGGTTTAGGTTATATGTACACTGAGGCGCTGTATAAGCCGTAAGGATTTCAATAATTTTCCATGATGCCCTGAAGCCATATTCCATTTTATCAGAGCTTAATATGCAACCCAGACCCCTCAAATAAAGCAAGCAAGAAAACCTAACCCTTCCCCCTCAAAGACATGAAGGTAGAAAGACATCGAATCAGATGTTGCCCGCTTCCCTTGTCAGCAATCTCATTTGTTGGATCGAAGCTTTGTTTATTTCCACGGTCTCTCTTTTTGCTTGAGAGCCTGAGGCGGCGGGGCAGCGAAAGAGGAGGTTGGCAAATGGCTGTTTTCGATCACTGAACATGCGTGTGAATACACGGGCAAACAGAGAAGTTTACAATAAAGAGACAAGTGTGCAGGTATGTCTATGTATGTCGAGTCTATATGCGTATAACATAATATAAGAAAATGTCCTTGGTTAATACGTACATGTACTGTTCTATATGTGCCTACCTACATACCTACCTGCAGACCATACATACATACATACATACATACATACATACGTACATACATGCATACATACATACATACATACATACATGAAGATGAATTTGTGTCTATACATGTATGCACGCATGGGAGTTAGCCGACAGGACCTGTGACTGTCCGGCATTCCTTGTTGTGTTTCAGCTGGCATGCAGGAGTTTGGCGGTTCAGCCTTGGACAGCAGCTTGCAATCTCTTGCTTGTGGGCCCCATCAAAACCACACAATTGTGATCATGTTGCTGCGGGTGTCTAGGGTGAAGGAAAGGTTGCCTTGCGGGGTTGATATGCAGTGTTGTGGTCTTCTTCGATCCTGAAGACCAAACCCGAACCTCGAGCGACTTGTCGTGCCTCTTGAGTGTGGAGCTCCGATTTGTTGGACAAGCGTTGAGTCCTAAACGGTCCTAAACCCTTGACTCCTAGGGTCAGAGTGTCGGGGATGATACGAAGCAGGGTTCCTTGGCACATGGCGGTTCCAAAGATCCTATCGGCGGGGCTGTCCACCTCATCCACCCCGACCGCTCGAAACTCGAAGGCGGAGGCCGTAATCAAGCATTTCCTGAGGCCTTGAAAAAGGGAAACAGCACTTCAGTCACAAATCCAACCTTCACAACGGCCCAAACGAACTATTGTGCTTGCTCCTGACATCAGAATCCTTCACAACCCCACTGACAGAACACATGTTACCACTCGTGTTTCCCTGTAACCCTAAACCCTAAACCCTAAACCCAAAGCCGTATGGTTTCCCAGCTGCACAGGTGACCCCCGGGAGGCTGGCCAGACTCTCTGTAGGAAAGAGGCTTTTTTTGGTCTGGAGTCGACATCCCAAAGACTCCAAAACCCCTTAATTAAGGAATAGACCTTAAATCATAATTGGATTCCTATTATAGTTTAAGGTACATTCCTTAATTCAGGGGTTGTGGAGTCTTTGGGATGCTTGCACCTAGTTTTGTATGGCTATGACTAGAGTGAGCCGGGTTTTGATTTCCAAGCTTTGGGGTTAAGTGGAAGCTTTCCATAAGGATCCTGTCACGCAGGGTCTTTATATGGGAGTTTCCGAAAATAGGGGACCCTAATATGGTACACTAAATAGTAGGATCCTTATTATAAGGACCCCAAAAGAAGGTACCCTAATTTTCGGAAACTCCCATATTGAGGATCCTGTACTTTCGCGACTCACATACTGACCCTTGGCATGGCTTCGTGGAACAATGCATCGCACCCCCTGGAAGCCCAACTAAACCACCCGAAAAACACCCCCCCCCCCCTTAAAAAAATTGGGACAGTCAACCTCTATATGCACTTTGAGCTGGAACCATTCTGAAACCTTAAGAGAACTATAAATCCTGATCCTTGGGTCCTTGCTCAAAAGCCATAACACCCTCAGCCCTAAACCCCGAATCCCAAACCCGAAATAACGTCCATCAGCAGGGGAGCCAAAGAGCCGCTGTGGCAAAAGCTTCGAAGGCCAATAGTAGGGTTTAGGGTTTAGGGTTTAGGGTTTAGATTTTGGGCTCTGGACTTTGGGTTTGGTGTCTTGCATTTAAGGTTTCCGGTTGAGCCGAGCCGAGTCCGGACTTTAGGCCTACCTTAAGAACCCAAAACCTACTTTTTTGTAGGGTCCCTAAAAATCCCATATTCGGGTTTATAATAAGAACCTACAAAGAAGTGGGTTTTGGGTTCTTACGGTAGACCCGCCCCTTTTCACTAAATCCGACTACCATTGATCTTAAAACCAAAATGCCCACTACGAAGGGGTCATTGAGGCTCGGATGGGGGTGTGCTGGGTCGGGGTGCTTCATCGACTGCGACCAGGACTATCAACTTCCGAGCCTTCCCAGGTTAAACCCCAAGCTGGACCTTTACAAACCACCTTGGAAGCAGTTAGCGCTCAATGCTGAGGGACCGCTGTCGCTTCATGAACTGGCTGGGCTTACAGGATGTAACCACGACCCCCTGAAAATATGTGCTTATCTGCCTTGTCTCGATAGCCTTCGGGATCGAAAACTTTCAGGGCATTCTCCTTGACAAGTAAACCCCTTTTTAAATGGCTGATCATCGGGTCAGATGCTCCACTGACTATACACGCTGAGCCACCGAAACCTTGACACTTTCCTATGCCCGTAGTAGTTCCTTGTTGGGGTTACCTTATAGGACTCTAAATATGAACCCCAAACAGGAACTACTATGGGGCCTATGGGTATAGTGACTATAGAACCTCAACACACCCTCAAAGAGTTGAGCGTAGAACCTTCTGAAAGCCTTCAAGTCTAGAGCCCTGGTAGAAGTCCTTCATGTTGACAGGTATCTGGGAGCTTGCTGCAGCAGGCCTATGGGAGAGCTTGCAAGGACATGTCTAGGGTGTTTATTGCCATCCTTATGTCGAGACAAGAACTCAACATGCAGTGCTACAACCAACCACGGCGGACTTGTTTGAAAGCCCACCCTAAACCCTAAACCCTAAAGGCTGCGGAGACTCTGCAGATGTCCAAAGTTTCGATGCTGCGCCCGGGGCTCAGGCAACAACTTCAGGGTCTCAAGTCCAGTACTTAAAGGATCATGGGACTTAGTAAGTAGGGTTATAATTAAGGTAACCATACTTATAACCCTCTGTTAACGCTTTTTGAAGACGGTATCGTGGTGGACCTTGCCAGGCTTGTCCGAGTGTGAGCGTCAAAAAAATTAGGGGACTTGTAACCTTACTACTAAGTCATGATCCCCCAAGTAAGCACGAGATTCTGTGCATGGAGAAGCACCGCACGTAGTAAGTGCCTTCTGGGTACGTTGTGGTTGTAATAAATCCCACTATCACAAAACAATATATATATATATATAGCTACATATGCCTACGTTTGTAGTTGTATGCATGTATTATATAACTTATATCGCACACGCGAAACTTAGTCGCCGGGTCCTCCAAATTGGATCCGTAGCCACACCAGGAAGCTGATTCTTGAAAGAAAGGATAAGGGGAGTTGTGGCATCTCTTGTTCTGATTAGGGCGTTTAGGCTGTTGGGGTTCAGGGTTTAGGCCCAGGCCGGCCAAAATAGCAGTAGAAGTGGCAAGGTTGTCCGCCCAGGCAGTACCGGCCCGGAAGGATCTGACAGAGTCAGCAACAAGGAACCTAGTATAAAGCGTACAAGGTAGATAGGTTTGGCATGCATCGTACCGGCTTGAAAAGGGTACAATACTTCTTCCTGCCACCAAGAACATACCAGGATCCTGTTGGGGAAGCGACACTTCGAATCCCGAGAGAAATGCATGATCGCCAGCAAGTTTAGGAGGTTACATGTCCATCCGTTGCAAATGTGGCGCCATCTCATGGCCATTTCACTTGGCCCTAGCCCCTAAACCCTAAACCTTAAACCCTAAGCCCAGTCATGGAGTCAGGGCCACTTCACTTGGCCCTAGCCCAAAGGTCTACACGATGCCATGCTGCTACTGCTTCATCCCCGATCAGATGATCCGGAAGTCAGCGGCCCAGACCTTTCCCATACACTATACTATACTCTATATTATATCAGGGTTTAGGGTCTAGGGTTTAGGGATATCTACAACTACATTAGTTATGTTACATGAAAAGCAGAATACTATGCTGCTAGTTATTTAATTTATCTAATTGTTACATTATAGTCAATGTCAGGTCACCTGCGGGAGCTGTTGTCTTCGACTCGTAGAGGGTTTCGGACTTTGAAACCACACATGAACATAAGCTATTGAAACCTATCCCTCCTAAGTATATTGCTTTCAAGTGTGTCGGTGCTTTCTAGGGCTCCTACTCAGGGTATAGGGTTCTGAATGTAGATGACAGTTCTACGGCGTTCTCTGCTTACAGTAGCCTGTGGTTGACGGTGATGACCATGATGATGACTATTCTTACTGGGACCACGACTGCTTTCTGGTCCTAGTGATGGTTACTTAAAGGGTCATGGGACTTAGTAAGTAGGGTTATAATTAAGGTAACTATACTTATAACCCCAATTAGGGGACTTATAACCTTACTTACCAAGTCCCATGACCCTCCAAGTAACGACTTGAAGCTTCACAGGTCGCAGAGCCTGAACGGGTCTAGGGTCTCATTCCCAGAGTCGCCCCCCCGATCGACGAGCCTCTCGGATCTTTGGTTTTGGGCTTCCGGGTTTGCGGATGCCCTCTTCTTATTCCTCAATGAGCTTTGTAGAGAACGCCGTGCTGAGCCTTTTCTAAGAAGTCTAAGGACGCTCAAACTTACCGCCAGCTTACCGCCATCCGAACACACAGATGTCGCAGGGAGGTGCTCATCGCTCGATTGCGGAGTGCCGGCACGGGGAAGCAGGTCAGCATGGCGCTGGTCGAGGAGCTTGCGCGATGCAATCATTGTCGTCTTCGTCACCATTGACATGTAGGATGGGTTTAGGGTCATCATAATCATCATCGTCGCAGTCATGATTGTTATCACCGTCTGCGTCCTGCCCCGAATGTTCCTCCAATGTCGAAGGCTTGAACCTAGCAGCTTCAACTCGCCGCCTGGAGCAGAGACTCCGTCAAAACACGAACCATTGAAACCTACCCCTCTATGAGGATATCAACTTCAACAGGTTGCATTTAGGTCGTGCTTTGTTTTCCAGCCATTTTCCTTGCGCTTACCAAGACTCATGGAAGCATAGCTATCAGCTGGCACTTGCCGCTGCAAGTCACAGAGCACTTTACCCACTGACAGGCACAAGGCGAACATATCAGGCCTGTACTCCTCACGCACGCGAACCTTTCACTTTCAGTCCTGGGTTGCAGCTCAAACAAGCTCTTCTCTAGGGAGACAGAGTCCACAAGGCCACAACCTCTGTCTCACTGGTGCTATTTCACAAAGTAGTAGTAAGGGGTCAGACGATGTATCCTCGGGGGCTGGAGACAAATCCTGCCAACCCATGCTTATCGCAGGCACGTTTCGGCTAGGGAAAGCTTCGCGTCTACTGCATCAGCATATGGCATGCCGTGGGTTCGTGTGCTGTGCCCTTGCGGCGATACTGTCGGCCAGCTTCTTGCCGTACAGGGGCTGCATCCCCCATTGGAGCTCATGCATTTCGACAAGAGCATGTCGCCTCACAAGGCGGAAGCTGGTACCAACAAAAAGGCCACTCTCTGTCTGGAGGCAGGCAGTCAAAAGTGCAGAAGTGGGTCCCGGAAGGTTTCTGTGGAGAAGCGAAGCAGGATGGTATCGAGCCTTGAAGATACTGAAGGATCGCTGTGGCGAGCAGTACGATGCAAGCAATATGACTTGGGCGTGGTGGAGAGCTAATATTAAGAATGCAGAGTCGACAATCGAGGTGACCTGCGAGAAATGTGGTCATGGCTCAGCGAGCACTTTGCTGCGCCATTTGCAAAGAGGTCAGGCGCCTGGATGTTTCTGCAATGGCGGCGTTAGCTGGTCCAGTCGGGAAGGGCATGCTCGTTGTCTTGCCATGCTGAAGGACCGATATGGCGAGCAGTACGATCACAGCCAGATGACTTGGGCTTGGTGGAGAGAGAACATTGTGCACCAACGCTCGAAAATCAATGTTGGATGCAAGGAATGTGGCCATCGCTCAATCAGCACCTCATTGACCAATCTGCAACGCGGATGCTCACCCGGATGTTTCTGCAACGGAGGCGTTCCCTGGTCCAGTCGGGGCGGGCATGCTCGTTGTCTTTTGATGCTGAAGCTCCGATATGGCGACCAGCATGATGCAAGCAACATGACTTGGGCTTGGTGGAGTGACAACATTCAGGGTGTTGATTCGAAAATCGATGTGACCTGCAAGAGATGTGGCCATCGCTCAATCAGCACCTCAGAGAACGCTCTGCAACGCGGAGGCTCACCTGGATGTTTCTGCAACGGAGGCGTTCCCTGGTCCAGTCGGGACGGGCATGCTCGTTGTC